CTTTTACAGTGAATCGGAATTATATGACTTCTTTTTAGGCTAAATTTTTTTTTTATGTGTTTCCGTTAAGTCGACCATCTCTAATTTTTACCCACCACCAACTACTTTTTTGGCCAAATTAGATTTTAAACTGTACCAATGGCGGATTTAGAGGGGGGTCCAGCCCCCCCCCCCCCTCTTTGTGTCCAAAATATACATCAGATTTCAGATTTAATAAATCAATTTGTTTGGTGTGGCCTTGAGCCAGTATCCCGAGACCACACTGGTCCCCCCCCCCCCCTTTTCAAGATTCCTGGAACCGCCACTGTGCACAATGTTACCAAAAATATATAATTTTTTTATATAGCCTTGTGTATATTTTTTATTACATACAAACTTACATCTTCTACAATATTCTCCTCCTTTTGATAAACTTTGTTGTTATGATTTGCCAAAGTAAGTTGCTTTCTGAAGCAAGCAAAAATTCCTATAATGCAAATATATTAATAAGATGTATATATCTGGAATGTCCTGCTAACATGGTGATCTTTGAATATAGACCAATTAAGTCTATTATATAAAAAAAATTATTTAATTCAAAATGTCAATTTATTTGAAAAAAGCTTCTTACGTGTAGTTTTTATACAAAATGAATATTTGAAAACATTCAAATTTATACCTGTGCCTAGGGTTGTTCTAACCATTCCCACTGACTGCCCTATCTTCTGCTTGTTGTTTTCCTCCAATTGCATCTTGTATTTTTCTCATGGGTTTTAGAGTACATGGAATCTCACATGATGGGAATGCAAGTCAGACCTCATAAAATTTGTTTCAATATTTTGCAAAGTGAATTTGACATTAAAAATCTATTATCATAATAAAGACCTGTACATCATTATCAAGTTGAATGCTGAGAAAGCAGTGTCTCCTTCATTTGATGAATTCCTTTGCCATTCACACCCGAATTCCAATTTAAAAAGTTGAAAAACACATCATTTTTCCGTTATTGTTTCGTGTTTATTTTTCTGGCGTCTGTTTTTGCCACATGTTGTTATAAACTTCTTTAGACTTCAATACAGGAGAGTCAACAAAGGGAAATAACACCAGTTTAATTTTTTGTCTTCAGTGCAAAAGAGTCAGCAAAGGGAAATAACTCTAGGTTAATTTTTAGGAAAAGTTATAATTTGAGGGGATTGGAATATGACTTTTAACTGGTTTCCCCACCTCAAATCTTTTTGCATCTTTTAGATCTAAGCTTGATCTTACTAAAAAGATCTTTTTTCTCAGTTTCAATTGCCTGCAAAATTTAATATGCATATCAAGAAATAGGCACCTTTGTATTCATTTTTATGACAAATTCATGTAAATTGATCTGTATCATATTAAAAACCTTGGGTTAAATTGAATAAAATTTAGATGCACAGAAACTTTGATTACTTAGCTGTAAAATGAAACCCATGTTATGTTCATAACTTTCCTACATTAAGGAAGCACGGAATTATTTTACATGGTGATGACAATCAGGTCAGTTTTGCCATGACAAAATATTTCAAAGTCGTTGCTATGGAAACCAAGGAGGTACTGTCCAAAATTTACCCACCAATAGTCTTTATATAGGGCACTCTCTAATATTATAGTGATAAAATAAAATTCCATGATAGTGCGTGGCCAAGCATTTTTGGTCCTTACAGAGAATTGATGTTAAATGCAAATCGCACAACTACAATTACTGATCATTATTTCTGTAAAGTTTCATATGATGAATGTTTAAGAGACCAGTGAGAACACTCCCGGACAAAATTCGTCACTTTTCGTACGTTTCCATCGCAACGGTAGCCATTTCGAAACTGAAAGTCTGCACTGCACAAGTAAAACTAGTTATCGTCTTTTGTGGAAAGTTTCAGGAAGATTGTCCCAGCCATCTGCGAGAAAATTCCCGAACAAGGTTTTTAGGCGTACAATAGCAATATGTCGCCCGACTTCGTTCGGGGCGACATAAATAATAATTGGCAAAGGCACAATACATTATAAGAATCAACAATTGTTCATACATAAATATACAATATTTTAGTATAGAATGTGAGGCTATACATAATTATAAATCATACCATCATTTGTATAATAATTATGTAATGCAATCATTTCTAGATACAAGATATTTTTTAATAAGTGAGTGTGTTATTTTCAGTCTTTCTGGACAATGGCTATTAAAGCAAAGCTTAACTTTTTGAGTATAAGACATATTTGATATTTTTCCTTGAAAAAAATTCATCAAGTTCCTTTCAAAAGTTAACCTATGATTATTGTATTTATGGCAGCTGAATAGAAAATGAAATTCATCTTCAATCTCCCCTGTGTTGCAAATATTACAAAATCTTTTATCTGTGGGTATAGACAAATGTCTCCCTTTTTCTATGGCAAGGTTATGTGCACTAAGTCTCAACTTGCTAATAATTGATCTCTCTGTTTTCTTTTTTAATATATGTATACATTTCATTTCATACATTTCATAATTCTGCAAATCCATGCGGGGGGGGGGGGGGGGGGTTCTGTCCGACCCCCCCCCCTCCTTTAGATCTGCGCATGCTCTTCTTTTTTCCTTGAGCGGGAGACACAAATTCTCTGAATTAGCTTGTATAAACATAGAATTATGTGGCTTCTTCTCTTGTTACCCAAATATAACGGTGAGTACATTTAGAGGCAGACACACCTACGTGAAGGTATTATTGTCTTATGACAGCATCTAATTATTTGTTTTTGAAATATATTGGCCTCTCTTTAGTAACAATTCTATTATTATCCCATACTCTTCCTAACTTGACTTTGTTTTTATATACATGTTAGATATGTTCATGTATCTCATACACACCACTGTCTGGTCTGAGAGTAGTAAACAAACAGAAACAGAGAAGGAAAAAGACTGAACCTTTCCACCTCATCTGTATACAATTAACACAGCTGTAGTGTTCAGTATTTCTCCTTTTCCTTGTTGGCGATTACTATTCTTATACCATCATCAGATACCTATAATTTGACTTTATAAGTTTACTAAAAGAATATGCGTGTTCATTGTCCAGTAAGCTCCGGACATTCTGACTGCATGAGATGGTGCCGTGCACACGTATGCAAGTTCTATCCTATATATTAATCCCGAGTAGGCCTTTCCTTGGCAGTCTGATTTATAAAATTTGCCTCTTTTGTCTCAGGCTGGGATATGGGAGAACCATGGGCACCAATAGCGCCCCTGCATTACAAATATCTGATTTTTTTTTTTGGTCTTCCAGGTCATCAAAAGCCAGAAACGTTAATTTTCTTACTTCTAATAGAATTATCTATATATATAATTAATTGTAAGTCATAAATATTCTATCTTTTGCATCTGTTAACTTGTTACATTTTGAAGTTTAAAATTACCCAGGATCATCACTTTACCTCATGGTGCTGTCTTGAACCCGTTTAGTTCTGCAAACTAGAAAAACATAAAATCTGTTTTGAAGATGATGATACATGTACGCAATCTAATAATCTTTTAGCTCGCCTGAGCCAAAGGCTCAAGTGAGCTTTCCTGATCAAAATTTGTCGCTGTTGTCATGGCGTCGGCGTCGTTGTAAAAAATTTTCACAATCCCATCTTCTTCTCCAGAACCACTGGGCCAGTTTCAACCAAACTTGCCATAAAGCACCCTTAGATAAAGGGGATTGGATTTTTTTTTAAATGAATGGGTTTGTCCTCTTTCAAGGGGCTATAATAGAGAAAACGTGAAAATTTGGTTTGGTCATTTAAAATCTTCTTCTCTAGAACTACTGGGTCAACAAAGCTGAAACTAATGTTGAAGCTTCCAAACATAGTGTACCGGTACAGTTTGTACAAATTATGGTCCCAAGGGGTAAGGTGAAGCCACAATAAGTGATCAAAATTTTACATGGGAATATAAAAAGTAAATGTTTTAAAATTGTTTTCCTTTCGAACAGGAAGGTCATGATTAGTACTTTTAAGAAGAAATTGTCCTCAGGTTGCGCAGAGACAAGATTATTCACACCAAGCTAAGGGATACAGTGGGGCTACAATAGGGGATCGAAGCTTTACATGGGAATATTACTATAGGAAAAAATATTTTAAAATCTTCTACTCCAGAGCAGCATTTCCATCAAATGCATGCGTCCCCAGGTAGTGTGTTGATTCTTTGTTCAAAATCATCGATTGAGCGAGGCCACACATAGGAGATCAAAGTTTAACATGGGGATATATGGGAAAATATTTTAAAATCTTTTCAAGAACAGCATACATGTAACTGTGATTGGTGATATTATATACAAACACCCTCGGGTACATGTAGAGCGCAGATTCAAGTTTGTTCAAATCATGGCCCCAAGGGTAGGTTGGGGCCACAATAAGGGGATCAAAGTTTTACATGGAGTTATATCATGGCTATTTGAGGCCAGAATGGGTCCATAATATGTGGTAAGATTTTTTTTTTCAAGTGAATAAAAATGGAATTTTTAAAAAAATCTTCTGATGAAGAACAGGAGGACCAAGGGAACTCGGGTTAGCGTTGTGGCTCAAAGGCACCCTTTTAAAAAATAACTACATGTAACATAACTATAGGTGTTTTTTTTTAATTTTATTAATATTACCTAAAAGTTTCAACATCTTTCTACGAGAACATCTTTAAAGTGACTTAATTTAAAGTAAAATCAAACGTTAATCTGAGACGAGCCCCTATGGCATATACTATGTAGACACTTTTATTACAGAAACAAGTACCTGTGCCTTGAACTACTAAGTATGACTTGCGCAGCATGTGGTTTTTGTCAATAAATAAAGTAAAATGAAATAAATTTTCTATCACTATGTTTGTTCTACAAATTGTAAAATTTGCAGTGTTTACAATGAATAATTTTGCCTTTTTTCTTTCAAAGATTTTATGAAATATTTGTAGTTTCATGGAATAAAGTCAGGTTTGAATTGTCTATATTCCCACGAAATACTTTGCTGTCGAGTTAACATTTTTCTTTGTTTACAAACATGGCGGGCAAAATTTGTACCGTTGAAACTTGTTTAAAAGAGGTAATTTAAGAAATGGATGAAAGAAAACAAGATTTTCCCCTCACAGTATCATCTCTGCAGAGAAAAACTGTATCTGTCGATGTTCAGAAACCAGCTATTTCTCAAAACTCGCCATCAAAGACAGAAATTTTACAAGATTTAAACGAACACTTGGCTGTTCATGCAGAGCGAATGCGGTTACTTAATCGTGCTGAAGAGGGACTTGTCAGTGATAGCTTCAGTCCATACTCAGGTCGTCATTCTAGTCCAGGAGATAACAAAGAAGTGTATGTATTTTAAGTTATTTTCTTTCAACAGTATTCAACTGTTGCTTCAAAAAAATCCTAGGGGCTTGTTTTCCGGATTGTTAAATGTAAAATAAATTAATAGAATTTTGAATCTACTTTAAACACACTTAAAAAGTTGTTACAATAAAGATTCTGACACTTTCAGACAAGAAAAAACCATGTGTAAAAAAAAAAACATACCACACCTATATACATAAACTCTACAAGGGACAAAAGCTTTCATCTTGTGTAAAATACCCCCACCCACTTCAGCACCTATTTCTGGACTCTTAAGAATTTATTTTATTTTCTTGGTTCTATCCCCTACAGTAATTATTTTCTTAAATGTTGATGTGTCTGTCAGTTGTCAACACGTGTTCAATCAACAGAAAACAGATACAATAACAATTTCTTCGATTTTGAGGCTAAGGCTACAGCTACAGTGGGGAGAGTGCACTTGTACCCTCAGAAACCCTTATACAGTTACAGTTGTAACTTTTATCCACCCCTTCAAGACCACTTCCTTTCCTTTGGTAACTGTACAGGAAAAAATGGGTCTTCAAGTCATTTAAAAATCATATTGTTGTCAAATAAGGGACTAGATTTTATCCTTACTAGACCCTGCCCTTTTACAGTTTTGTTGTTTCTCTTATCTTTAATGATTCTTTATGGTTTGAAAGTTATGAAAAATAGAAACTTGAATGCAAGGGTTGTTAGGTTCCATTGTTATATGTAACTTTTTAATTTACAGATCTTCTAAGAATATTAATGATGATAAAGAAACAAATACCTCAAAAATCCCAGTGCTTTCCAAAAGACAGAAAAGAAGGGAGAAAGAAAATCTTTCGAAGCCAACGATGAAACCTGACCTGATGAAAACGACAACGCTGGAGATCCACCCCGTACAGGAGAGAGTCGCGCAAAAAGCGGACAAACCCAGTCACCCCGTACCAGAGAAAGTTGCACAGAAAGCAGACAAACAACAGTCCAGGAAAGGGGTCCCTCGAGGGAAAAAGAGTGGGGTACAGATAAAAAACTACCGGGCGGACTATACATGGAACAGAGGAGGACGGTTAAAGGAACTAAGGATTAGGTAAACTTCTGTGCATCACCTAAAATATTTTTTCCAAAAACAATTTAGAAAAATGAAAAAATTATTATCAAAGTTTGGTCGGTCATCTTGAATTCATCTATATCACACAGATATAAACATTGTATTTTGTTTGTTTTCCAAAAATCCAGAAGTTTCCTTAAAAGATGTTAGGAACAGATAATTGTTTTGGATGAAATATATAGAAATTTATGAAATGGTTTTGTATAGATTAAAATAAGAGATTCTAACAGCTCTATAAGCATACTGGAGGTCACACTCAGATCTTGAATTTTATACTAATCATTTTAATTGTAAGAGTTAAAGCTGCTTCTGAAAATCAGAAAATGAACAACAGAAGCAGGGAATACATTAAAAATCTCTAAGTAACTTTTGTAATGATATATTTTATGACATCCTATGTTTAAAAGGGGGGGGGGGGGGGGGGGGTTACACCTAATTGAAAGTAAGTCCCTGAGTAAACACAGTGGAAATTTTACAGTAATGTTATACTTTAGCACTTTATCAACCAGAAAAATCATTCACTTTTTGGTTATAATAACACCAGGTTAGGGTATGTGTTGGGGGGGGGGGGGGGATTAGATGAAGAAATTGAGCATTTGTTATGGTTAAGGTCTGGGTTACTTAGGTCAGGGTGTACAGATTTTGTAGAATTAGCTTGACTGATCTATTATTTAAAAATTAAGTTGAAACCTTTTTTTTTAACACCACCTCACCTACTCCCCTTCCCCAAAAAATATTGCTAAAGATAAATTCATTAACTTTTACAAATTTTGTACCCCATCATAATCTTTGTGTAAAATTTGTTAATACATCATAAACTGTTATTATATAAAGATAATATTTATACAGCATTTATGAAATATTTACAGGCATTTAGCAAGAAAATTTTCCAAACTTTGGAAAAATAAAACTTTTGGAAGAGTGCTTCCATCTGTGGCAAGGTCAGTGTATTTTATACAGTAAAAGTTTCAGCTTTTGCTTTTTATATGTAATAAAGCTTGAATTCAGCCACTGGTACCCGAACAGGTAGATTTAAAGATTTACCTTTTATAAGAAAGTTAAGTATGTTTGTTGATGAGGTTTGTATTAACAGGCGACATTATGAGACCCATCTGATGAGACAGGTATACAGGGAGTGGCATGGAATGTGGTGGGAGGTCAGAAAAGAATGGAGGTTAATGGTGCGAGCAGAATGTCATCACAGGTAAATATAGCACAAGGTCAGAGGTCAAATGTCATCAGAAAGAAAAAAATGTAAAGTACCCGGTAATTTATTGTGCTGAAATCTCATTTGTATACTCTGCATAGTTTTGTCAATATTTATATATCTGTCAATTTATACATTGACTTTTCTTTGTGAAAAAAATGACAATTGAATTTTTGCTAATTTCTTGAATTATATGGAATGTTTTATATTTTTCATGTTTTCAAATGTTCTGGTTTTAGATATGTGGTTTGGAGTAAAGTGTTTGAAGCTTGGAGACTATATGTTCTCTATCAGAAGGCTACTGCAGAAAAACTGGAGCTGGCCACAGCCATTAGTATGTGGTGTACTATTAATTGCAAATTGGAATTTTTTAAAGATCATGCAGTAATTATACTGTAGAAATTCCCCTTAATTGAATTTTTTCTTGTATTTCATTCTTTTTCTTTTTTTTTTTCTTTTTTTTGCATTTTTTTTATTTGATTGCAGGTAACAAAGCTATTCTGTGCAGGAGTCTTAAACATTGGAAGAACTTTGTTAATATGCAGAGAGGAAAAAAGAAAATTAAATCAGAGGCAGACAGTCATTATCACCAGGTGTTAACCAGGTAAAGCACCTGTAAAAGTATTGTGGTCCTCAGTGGACTAGTATCTAAAAATAGATAGAATACAGAAAAAAAAAAAAACATCTGTTGTAAAATTAAGTTAGTGTGTGTATTTCTGTTGATAGATTAATGTCTATATTTCTGTTTATAGGTTAGTGTGTATATTTCTATTGATAGGTTAGTATGTGTATTTCTATTGATAAGTTAATGTGTATATTTCTATTGATATATTAATGTGTATATTTCTATTGATAGGTTAGTGTGTATATTTCTGTTGATAGATTAATGTGTATATTTCTATTGATAGGTTAGTGTGTATATTTCTATTGATAGGTTAGTATGTATATTTCTATAGATAGGTTAATGTGTATATTTCTATTGATAGGTTATTGTGTATATTTCTATTAATAGGTTAGTGTGTATATTTCTAATCACAGGTTAGTGTGGACAGTTGTATATTTCTATTGATAGGTTATTGTGTATATTTCTATTGAAAGGTTAGTGTGTCTATTTCTATTAATAGGTTAGTATGTATATTTCTATTGATCGGTTAGTGTGTATATTTCTATTGATAGGTTAATGTGTATATATCTATTGATAGATTAGTGTGTATATTTATATTGATAGGTTGGTGTGTATATTTCTGTTGATAGGTTAGTGTGTATATTTCTATTGATAGGTTAGTGTGTATATTTCTATTGATAGGTTAGTGTGTCTATTTCTATTGATACGTTGGTGTGTATATTTCTATTGATAGGTTAATGTGTATATTTCTATTGATAGGTTAGTGTGTATATTTCTATTGATAGGTAGTGTGTGTATTTCTATTGATAGGTTAGTGGGTATATTTCTATTAATTGGCTAGAGTGTATATTTCTATTGATAGGTTAGTATTTTTTCTGTTGATAGGTTTGTGTGGATTAAATGGAAGGAGCAGTACAGACTCCAGCAGGAGAGACAGGAAATGGAAGTAGTAGCTTTACAGTTCTGGGCGTACAGAATTCAGGCACAGGTACGTATTAGAGCATCAGGTACAGGTAATTATTATGGTCAGTTTTTCTTTTTATATTAAAATGTTTGTCATACCAAAGTCCTTAGAAAACTGTTCCAATTTGCAATGAACAAATACACATGTAATTCAGATATTTTTTTTTTCATGGAGACTAAAGAAGTAAGAGTGTACTGTATTAAATTTGTTTGTCAATCCATAACTTTACCATCACTTTAGATGTGGATGGGACAACATGCTCTAAATATGAACAATTTCTAAAACCAAGCAATCTATTAACAAATAAAATGATGATACAAGGATATCAACATGTCTGGTTTAAAGTCAACATTTTGCATATTCTATGGTCGATACAATGACCTTGTCAGCAAATACAGTCTTTCGCTAAGTTAAATGTTGACTGACATTTTTCATAAATATTGTAAGGCCACTATTTTCCCACTTAATTTTTGTCTGTGGATTTTTTTGTTTGCCCAATCATGACATAGAGCACAAGGTGGGTGTGACCAGTCAACAGGGGATGCTTACTCCTCCATGGCACCCTATCCACCTCTGATGTTTTGGAGGACCGTGTTTTCTCTGCTGCTTTGTATTATTTTAATGGACTTTTGAGATTGATTACTGTTGGTTATCTTCATATTTAATACAATTTACTATAAAGTTTGCCTCTAACGTCAAGTCCATGCTTAGAATTTAAAACTAAAAAAAATGTGCTATTTAGAAATTTTAAATGGGATGTAATGGTTTGAATGTATTTATTCAGCCATAATAAATTACATGCATATCTTTTATCAGCACTGGTTGATATGGTCAGACAAACTTAAGAACAAACGCCAAATTTACCATAGACATGCTCTGTCGCTCCGGCACTACCAACAGACAGTGAAGAGGAAATGCTTTCTTGCTTGGACTCGGTATTGGCTGCAGAAACGAGACAGGAAAAGACAGAAAGGTAATGATATTTAAGAAACAAGCCAGAAAAGAATCTTGCTTAATTACATGTATCACAGGCTTGTTTGTTCATAAATGGAGTTTCTGAGCTTTAATAAGAATCCATTGTTTTATAAATTATGCATATGTGTATATACTATGTCCATAGCTTGAGATACATGAAGTTTTATACCTGACTGAAGCTTTAATAAGAAAACTCTGTTTTATAGATTATGCAGATAAATACTATGGCCAGAGCTTGAGATATCAGACATTTTATACCTGGATGAAGCAGTACCAGCTCCAACAGTCCATCAAATCTCACCAACATCACATCGAGGTCCTGGCAGCAAGATTCCAGAGGAGGCGTTTCTTCCAGATCTGGAAACATTGTATCCTTATTATCTGTCTGTGTCTGGAATGATGTCTTTGTGCTATTCATTTTTTTGCACTTAAACTATTGTGTGGTACATGTAATAATGTTTGGTTAATACATTGTATGATAGGGTTTATAGCATGAACACTAAACTTATTTAAAATGCTTGGCTAATATGATAGGGTTTACAGTGTTTTTAGCTCTACTGATCAGAGACCAGAAGAGCTTATGCGATAGTTAGTTGTCCGTCTGTCTGTCTGTCCGTCTGTATGTAAACAATTTTTCAAAATTCTACTCCTCCTACAGTTTTGGTCTGATTTCAATATAACTTGGCACACAAGTACACTACACTAAGATTCATAATTCTCTTTATCAGTTTTTGATTTCGATGAACGGTGTTGCCATGGTTACTAAAAATAGAAATTTCTGTGAAATACTTTCAAAATGCTACTCCTCCTACAGTTTTGGTCTGATTTCAGTATAAATTGGCACATAAGTAGACTACACAAAGGTACATAATTCTATGTATTGGTTTTTGATTTCAATGAATGGTGTTGCCATGGTTACTAAAAATAGAAATTTCTGTGAAATACTTTCAAAATGCTACTTCTCCTACAGGTTTGGTCTGATTTCAATATAAATTGGCACACAAGTAGCCTACACAAAGATACATAATTCTGTGTATTGGTTTTTGATTTCGATGAACGGTGTTGCCATGGTTACTAAAAATAGAAATTTCTGTGAAATACTTTCGAAACTCTACTCCTCCTACAGTTTTGGTCTGATTTTAATATAATTTGGCACACAAGTAGATTATACTGAGGTACATAATTCTGTATATCCATTTTTTGATTTTGGTGAAGTGTTGCCATGGTTACAAAAAAGCTGAAATTTCTTTGACATACTTTCAAAACATTACTTGTCACCTGCATGGCGCAGTGGTAGAACTTTTGCTCTGGAGTTGCAGAGTAAGGAGTTGATCCTTACGTCGCGGGTTCGAATCCCATTGTGGGACATGGAGACTGGTCCTTCGGATGAGACCGTATAAACCAAGGTCCCATGTTGCAGTAGGTGCTGGCATGAAAAACACCTCTTACTGCTCATAGCCCTGAGTGCCGAGCATAGGTCAAAATTTGCAGCTCTCCACCGGCAAGTGGTGGCGTCTCAATATGAGTGAAAAATTCTTGAGAGGGACGTTAAACAACAAACAAACAAAATATTACTTTGCCTACAGTTTGGTCTGATTTTAATATAACATGGCATGCAAGTAGACTACACTGAGATACATAATAGTCTTCTTTTTTTTTGATTTTGATGAATGATGTTGCCATGGTAACTAGAATCAAAATTTCTCTAAAATTCTCTTAAAAGGCTTCTCTTCCTACAGTTTTAGTCTGATTGCAATTCATCTTGCAACAAAAAGAGAGTAAAACAAGGATTATTATTTAATTACTGCTGTTGCAAAGTTTCAAGTCCAAGTGCTACTTTTCTCTTCCTTTGTTATAAGTACAAACCAGTAGAGCTACAGTCTTGACAAAGACTTCTGGTTTAAAACTGTTTTGAGAATCTGATAGGGCTCAGTGCAAATAAAGGTATGCTTTTTATTGAGGTAACATGAATGTTTGATGAACCATCTGAAAATTTAAAATCCCAACTTCTGACAAACACTTTTGAGACCCTCATGTAAATATCCTTATCTGTAAATGTTACCTTGACCACTGTTTTTAGACATGATGATACAAGAAAACAAGAGAGAGAAGATGTATAAAGCAGAGATTCATTACAGGAAAAAATTGATGGTACATGTCTTTTGTATTTAAAAATTAATACTTAAATATCAGTAAGTGATAATAATTTAAAAGTAAAAAAAATGACAATTAAGTGGAAAAAATATTTCTTTGGTCTTGAAGTAAGAGGAAAAACTGAATTGTACAGTTGCTAGCTTTTTAGTATACACACAGTTTTGAAATATTATTAAGAAATTGTTACTTGTTCAGAAAGTATTAACCATAAAATAAAATTTGTCCTCTTCTGTACTCTCTACGTGTAAGTTAAAATATAAATGTCAGCAAAGTTTGAAACTTACAAGTCCATGACAAGACTGTAATTTATCTTTCTCATATATTTTAAAGTAAAGTATCAAGAAAGTTTAAAGTGCTGTCTTCAAATTTCTGAACATTTTCTTGCAGCTGTTGGGATTTAATGCTTTTAGACTCAATGTGGTGCAGCTAAGGGTTAAAGAGATGAGAAATGAGTTAGCCATTCAACATTACTTTAAAACAGTAAGTCACTTTTATAGTGTATATTTCTATCAGTCAGTAATTCTTTTTAGCCTCTTATAATATAATTTTCACTACAACTGTATCATATTTTATTTGAATTTTATGTATGCTTCTTTTTTACTTTTGAACCTTCATTCTAGATGACATATTTTAGTTTAAATCTTGTGTCAAAATTAATATCTTTTTTTCTGTAATTAAATTTAATGAGTAAATCTGCAGGTACATGTACTTTTATATTAGTATTGTAATGTCCTTTGCAGCTTTTGAACCGACACTGGCAGATCTGGCTACAGAAATGTGAGAACAATGAAGAGCTACAGATAAGCCATCTTACCAAACAGGCACACACACATTATCAGTAAGTCATCTTGACAAACAGGCACATGCTCATTATCAGTAAGTCATCTTACCAAACAGACGCTCATTATCAGTAAGTCATCTTACCAAACAGATGCTCATTATCAGTAAGTTATCTTACCAAACAGACACACACTCATTATCAGTAAGTTATCTTACCAAACAGACACACACTCATTATCAGTAAGTTATCTTACCAAACAGGCACATGCTCATTATCAGTAAGTTATCTTACCAAACAGGCACACACTCATTATCAGTAAGTTATTTTACCAAACAGGCACACACTCATTATCAGTAAGTAATCAGTAAGTCATCATACCAAACAGGCACACACTCATTATCAGTAAGTCATCTTACCAAACAGACACACGCTCATTATCAGTAAGTTATCTTACCAAACAGGCACACGCTCATTATCAGTAAGTCATCTTACCAAACAGGCACACACTCATTATCAGTAAGTCATCTTGCCAAACAGACGCTCATTATCAGTAAGTCATCTTACCAAACAAGCACACACTCATTATCAGTAAGTTATCAGTAAGTCATCTTACCAAACAGACACACGCTCATTATCAGTAAGTCATCTTACCAAACAGACAGACACACATTATTAGTAAGTCATCTTACCAAACACACACACACACTCATTATCAGTAAGTTATCTTTCCAAACAGGCACACACTCATTATCAGTAAGTTATCTTACCAAACAGACACTCATTATCAGTAAGTTATCTTACCAAACAGGCACACGCTCATTATCAGTAAGTCATCTTACCAAACAGGCACACACTCATTATCAGTAAGTTATCAGTAAGTTATCTTTCCAAACAGGCACACACTCATTATCAGTTAATTATCTTAATAAACAGGCACACGCTCATTTTCAGTAAGTCATCTTACCAAACAGACACACACTCATTATCAGTAAGTCATCTTACCAAACACACACACACTCATTAATCAGTAAGTTATCTTTCCAAACAGGCACACACTCATTATCAGTAAGTTATCTTACCAAACAGACACTCATTATCAGTAAGTTATCTTACCAAACAGGCACACACTCATTATCAGTAAGTCATCTTACCAAACAGACGCTCATTATCAGTAAGTTATCTCACCAAACATTCACACGCTCATTATCAGTAAGTCATCTTACCAAACAGACACACACTCATTATCAGTAAGTTATCAGTAAGTCATCTTACCAAACAGACACACGCTCATTATCAGTAAGTCATCTTACCAAACAGACAGACACACATTATTAGTTAGTCATCTTACCAAACACACACACACTCATTATCAGTAAGTTATCTTTCCAAACAGGCACACACTCATTATCAGTAAGTTATCTTACCAAACAGACACTCATTATCAGTAAGTTATCTTACCAAACAGACACACACTCATTATCAGTAAGTTATCTTACCAAACAGGCACATGCTCATTATCAGTAAGTTATCTTACCAAACAGGCACACACTCATTATCAGTAAGTTATTTTACCAAACAGGCACACACTCATTATCAGTAAGTAATCAGTAAGTCATCATACCAAACAGGCACACACTCATTATCAGTAAGTCATCTTACCAAACAGACACACGCTCATTATCAGTAAGTTATCTTACCAAACAGGCACACGCTCATTATCAGTAAGTCATCTTACCAAACAGGCACACACTCATTATCAGTAAGTCATCTTGCCAAACAGACGCTCATTATCAGTAAGTCATCTTACCAAACAAGCACACACTCATTATCAGTAAGTTATCAGTAAGTCATCTTACCAAACAGACACACGCTCATTATCAGTAAGTCATCTTACCAAACAGACAGACACACATTATTAGTAAGTCATCTTACCAAACACACACACACACTCATTATCAGTAAGTTATCTTTCCAAACAGGCACACACTCATTATCAGTAAGTTATCTTACCAAACAGACACTCATTATCAGTAAGTTATCTTACCAAACAGGCACACGCTCATTATCAGTAAGTCATCTTACCAAACAGGCACACACTCATTATCAGTAAGTTATCAGTAAGTTATCTTTCCAAACAGGCACACACTCATTATCAGTTAATTATCTTAATAAACAGGCACACGCTCATTTTCAGTAAGTCATCTTACCAAACAGACACACACTCATTATCAGTAAGTCATCTTACCAAACACACACACACTCATTAATCAGTAAGTTATCTTTCCAAACAGGCACACACTCATTATCAGTAAGTTATCTTACCAAACAGACACTCATTATCAGTAAGTTATCTTACCAAACAGGCACACACTCATTATCAGTAAGTCATCTTACCAAACAGACGCTCATTATCAGTAAGTTATCTCACCAAACATTCACACGCTCATTATCAGTAAGTCATCTTACCAAACAGACACACACTCATTATCAGTAAGTTATCAGTAAGTCATCTTACCAAACAGACACACGCTCATTATCAGTAAGTCATCTTACCAAACAGACAGACACACATTATTAGTTAGTCATCTTACCAAACACACACACACTCATTATCAGTAAGTTATCTTTCCAAACAGGCACACACTCATTATCAGTAAGTTATCTTACCAAACAGACACTCATTATCAGTAAGTTATCTTACCAAACAGGCACACGCTCATTATCAGTAAGTCATCTTACCAAACAGGCACACACTCATTATCAGTAAGTTATCAGTAAGTTATCTTTCCAAACAGGCACACACTCATTATCAGTAAATTATCTTACCAAACAGACACATGCTCATTTTCAGTAAGTAATCAGTAAGTCATCTTACCAAACAGACGCTCATTATCAGTAAGTCATCTTACCAAACAGACGCTCATTATCAGTAAGTTATCTTACCAAACAGACACATGTTCACTATCATTAAGTTGTTTGACAGTCTAAACAAATCATGATTGTAATAAAAATGGAAAACAGCTGAAGTTTTCAAGATTTTTATTTATGCCCCTGGATCAAAAGATCCCAGGGTATATTGTTTTTTTCATTGTCTGTCTGTCTGTCTTTTGTCAACTTTAATCTAGCCCATAACTATTGCACTGTCAAGGGTAAGGCTTTAATATTTGACATGAGTGTTCATTATGACAAGACCTTTCCATTGGTACAGAAATTTTTGATCATGTGACCTCAACTGTGACCTTTGACCTACATTTGAAAAACTTTAACATTGGCCATAACTATTGCACTTTAGTTTATGTCCCACTCCAGAATTGTGTTACCATCGGGGGCATAGTGTTTCACAAACACAGCTTGTTTATTTCACAATAATCTGGTGAACTTTCTGTAGGAGTGTCCTCAAAAGAAAATGCTGGAATGCTTTGGTGTTGTATACCAGATATAGAGAGCAAAGAAAAGTAAGTATCAAATGATAGAACCAAAAAATTAATCTTCATTATCATTATTATATGTCTATTAAAAGTAATTATTCTTTGAAAACCATCAAAAAATCAATTCTTGATCATCAAAGAAGTGGGGTGCAGAAGCAAGAGATACAAAACAAAACCAGTTCCACACTTTTACTGGATCCACCTTTGACGGTACATACTGTCACCCTTACATATTGTCACAGGTGACAATATGTACCGACCCTCACTGCACATATTGACATCCATCAGTTCATATTGACGCTGGTAACAATATGTGCCGAAATAAGCATGTTTTCTCTGGATGACAAAATGTACCTTGCACTTCAGCACATATTGTTGTCAGAGATGCTGTGTATTGCAAACATTTGTACATTTCATCCTTATTTATATTATTTAGAAGAATATTAAATCTCTCTCTGAGAGAGAGAGAGAGACAGAAAGAGAGATAGAGACTTGGAGAAAGAGACTTAGAGAAAGGAGAGAGAAAAAAAGAGTTTTGATCTTTTCTATGAATTTATTTCATTGTGCAATTTGCACGATTCACCCTTTTCACTTCCAATTGTACTTGAAAATCTAGAATTTCATTGTAGCCACTTCATTGGAGTTTCAAAAGACAATTGTGCATATACAGAAAAGTATTGGTTTGTCTTTAGTGAACATGCCATCTCATGAAAACTGTAAATACATGTATGATTTTTTATGTCTTCTTCATCATAATCAATATTACTGAAAGCTCTAATTGTGGGGTGACAATATATGCAGTGAGGGTAGGCACATATTGTCACCAGTGACAATATGTACATGATTGTATAATTTTGCAGCCAATGGCAATATATGCCAATAAATACAATATATGTAATAAAGTTAGGTGCATATTGTCGCTAACAACAATATGTACAAAAAGACAAAATGTACAGTTTATTATTTTTTCTATTCTGTGTATATAATGTGATTTGTAGACACAGAAAGTACAGGCAGATGCTTTCTTTTTCGTTCACTCCATGCCAAGATTTGTCTTCCAGTGGAGGATTTATGTAGAAATGGAGAAAATTAAGAGGGAAAATCAGGAAAAATATACAAGTTTTAGAAGGTATTGATTATTTAAGTAAAATATTAAATACAAAAATATAATGAAACTTAAATTTATTGATATACACAAGAAAAATCTAATTAACACAGATAGAACTTTTTAAGCACAGATTTTACATGATCACATTATATACAAACTCATAGTGATCACACAAAATCAAGCATAGTATGTTACCGCCCGTGTTTAAACAGGTCTAATTTTCCCCCCTTTTTATTCAGAGAGAATTTGATTGCCCGTTTCTTCTACCAGTGGTATAATTCCTATGAAGAACACAGAGAATTCAGAATGAACTGGAGAATGGTAATTATAAACTTTGGACTTTGGGGATGTTTTCTTTGAACTGTTCAATACTATCTCATTATTTATTGACTACTGAAACACTATATGACAGTTTATTGTGAAGGGGGATGGGGATAAATGGGTAATTAGATGGTGGATATGCTGATTTCTGGAGACAGGATACAGAATCCCTGAATTATCTGTCATTATTATTACGCAGGCTGTTTTACATCATGAAGATAGTATGAGGAAACATTTCCTGTCCAGATGGAGAAGCCGACTACAGTCTTGTCTGCAGGAAAGGGACAAAGAGGTTTACTAATTCTCTATATAAACATTCTCTTAGTAAAAAGTTCTCATGACTTCCAAATATGAAGTAAGAAATTAATGGAAGTCATATTGTATACAGGGAAATTTTTGCCCCGGTTTTATTTTCGCTCCTTTCACCTTTCTCACAGGTGAGTGAATTTAAAACAAGGTGAATTCAAAGAACACAGTATGATTTCTTATACAGAACTCTGACTGGGCAAATTTAAAATGGGGCAAAATTGTTTGCAATTGTGAAAGGGCAAAAATAATCCTGTATACAGTATACTGAACTGGCATTACATTTTTGTGTAGAATATTTTGTAAGGATAATGATGAGCAATGTGTTTTGTGTTTTGACAATTGGGATTGACTTTCAGAGCCTGGCTGAGAATCATTACCATTCCTCTATATGTAGGAAGCACCTGCTAGCCTGGGTACAGTACGTCAGGGATCTAAGAAAAATGTACGCAATATCCTCTCCTATAATGAGTTGTTCTTTTTAATCATACTTTTAAAGAATTAATTGACATACTGCTTCGTTTGTTTTGGTTGTTCAATAATTGTCCTAACTTCACAGGGAAACATTAGAAACAAAAGCAGTGACTCATCATTACAAATCCTCACTGAAAAGAGTTCTACAAACATGGATTGAGGTGAGAGAAGTTTTAAGATATTTTGTAAAACAGAATTTCCTCATGTTTTTAGATGAAATTCCATAATCGTCTTTTTAACCACTTTCAGTACACAAAAGAAATTAAACAAGAGAAGTCACAATGGCTGAGAGCCACCAAATTTTATCAAATGAAGTTGTGTAAAAAAGTTGTGAGTGCTTGGAATGCACAGAGAATTCAAGGGAGACAATTCCAGATTCTGGCTGAGGAGAGATACAGACATAAGTGCAATGTTTGCAAAAGGTACAAAATATCACATCATTGATAGCATATGAGGGCTTTCATTCTTTAAAGTTGTACATGTTTTTGACCTTCTTTGTAAAACCGTTGGAACATAAGTCATGAGGATCTTGTCAGTGTAGCCTCTTTTCTTTGACAATGTAGGTGGGCTTTTAAGACTTGGAGAGACAATGTTCAGGAGAATCTGAGAGACAGACAGGAGGATAAAGCTGCCATTATCCACTACAATAGACAACTCCTACACAAGGTAACCCACAATCTGTCTGTATTTTGAGTTCAAAAGTTCAAGCTGAGAAGGATGTTTTCATTGATTTTATCAGAGAATTGTTATCTTACAAAGAATAATATGTAGATATTTTGAGCACCAAAAAGTCCTTTGTTCATTGCACCTTGCAACAGCATGCTAAAACGCATGCCTATATTCTTATTTATTGTTGAATTACTATTTTTAGCTGTTGTTGACTTGGCATAGATATGCTGCTATTCATGCTTACAAGAAATCTGAGACCAGACAATGGGTGGAATCCACAAAACAGGCCCTAGACAGAAGTAAGACATATTATATAGACTGATGAAATTATATCTAGCCAACTTTTACGACCAAAATTACAGAAACTGGGATGATTATCTATATAATTTAGTCATAATATTGAGTTACAATTGCAACTACATACAATGTAAAGGAACTCTGAAAATGATTTGAATTAAAGTGATAGCTTTCTTACCAAACAAACTTTTTTTTTAACAGACAAGTTGCAAAGATATTTCTGGCAATGGCAAAAAGCACGAGATGAAAGAATCTTACAAAAGTTCAAACATGAACAAGCTGTCAATCATCATGATACTGTGATCCAACAGAGGGCGCTGTTCCAATGGAAAGAGTTCACAGTTACTGCAGTGAAGAAAAATGTAAGAAAATAACAAGATAGTGAATTTTTTTTATTTAAAAACTTCTAGTGGTCACATAAATCACATTTTTATTTTTTCAGGAAATCTATGATTGTCTTGATTTTTTTTTCAACTTCTAATGAAACAGTGTATGTGGGTTTTTTTCAGCTTCTAATGAAACAGTGTGTGTGGTTTCACAACATCAGATTAATGAGTAATTTCCTGTCACTTTGGAAATGGAGGTACCAGTTAAGACAAGAGGAGAACCAGAAAACTGACATCGCTTTGTGGCATTGGAGTTTGGTTCTCCAAAAGAAGGTACATGTATATCATAAAGTCTCAGATAGACAATGGATAGACAGGTTTTACAAATGTGTGTAATTTTTCTCCATTATCAGTGTAGCTTAACTTTATGTAGACTAAATTCGACATAAAATTGCATAGCCCACAGGGTCAACAAGGTCATTCAGTCTTGATTTTTACTTTTGAGAGATTCAGTATAATATGTTTGAATGTAGGTTCAAAATTTCGGATAAATTGGAAAATGTCTTTATTTCAGGCCACAAACTTAATCTTACTGAGCACAGTAAGGTATTGACACCAGTATTTACATATTTACAGATTCTGGTCGTGTGGTTTGGCTACACTGCAGACAGGAAGAGAAAGAAAGAGCGAATCACTCAGGCTTTGGAGAGACGACGCACTAGACAAATACGTCAGGGTGTCACTCAGTGGATCGCCGTGGCAACAGACCTGTCAAATATGAGAGCTAAAATTGCAGCCCAGCAAAATGCCAAGGTTAGAATTGTAACATCAGTCAGATGAGAGGATAAACATGAGATGATCTTTTCTTCAACAAGGCTTTTCTTCTGTCTATCAAACATGATGATTGTGAATTGATTTGATAAATTATTAAGAGAGAAGTATTAAAATTACTTGTCACTTTTATTTCACTCCATTCCAATACTGTATATGTACATAAATTGGCGTATTCAAAATTTAGCGCAATCACTGGGTATGGAGTTTTTGGCGCAATCATGAATTAGGGCTACACATGTCTATGCCGTGTTTTGTATTTATAAATGATTTCTTAGCGGTATTCACGAAACAGTGCATCGTGTCCACACCAAAGCTGCTAAAATATGAAGCCCGCTTTTTTAAGTACATATACAGTATATTATTATTTCCAGGACCAATCTTGCATGGTTGGTACATCTAGAACTGCTTATTTCCTGTCGTGTCTTAGGATGCTGCACCTGTTCTATATTTCCCTGATGAGCCGTCAAGTTTTATCAAGCAGGTCCATCCCCAAGTAACCGTACAGCTTACTTCAATGGATGATGAAGAATGGAATGCTTACTACCTTTCATTCTAACCCTCGGCAATACACTTTACTTTCTGCAAACTAATTATTCGAATCATTCGATTGTCAAAATATAAGCAATCTTATGTCCCTGAAGTCTCCTAAGATTAAGAGCCTCCTCAACTCTAGGAAAAGAGAGGCAGTAGGGTAGATAATCTCTAGGTAATCGCGATACTAAGTATTCTCAAATAACCATCAGCCCAAGCTGAACTGAATTTGCACTAGGTAAGACATGTACATTTATTGTGGAATTGCATATGTCTGCACATTTTGCTTCAGATGCAACTATTTGCTAGATGTGCACTTGTAATCAGTTGTAGATTACATTGGCTGAGGTGAGCTTTGTTATGTTAAGTTTGATTACTTGTGTTTATGCTTGTTGATATATGTTACGACACCTTTGCCTTACTTATAGATTACGTTCTTTATTATGTGTGATTACACGTATTAATGTCTGTTAATGTTTGTTAGGATGCCTTTGCCAAACATCAGTTAGTCCAGCGTTGTGCGTTACACTGGCGATACATCACAGCCAAAAGGAACACAAGGGGAGATCACTCTAACAGGAAAAAGCAGGACTTACTGCAATTTGAGAAGAAAAATGTAGACTATATTCCAAAATTAAAACCTAAGGACTTACAAAAACAGGAAGTCATGTGTAAACCCTTTCCAAACTTTCCACTGGAGTCCAGGTCCCCACAGAGACTACCAGACAATGAACAGACTGTCTCATCTGTACGGTAGGTTTCTTATCTCTAAAGGTTAGGTTTGAAAAAAAAGCAGGATTTGTTGCCCCAGAATGAGGAACATTTTACAGCTGATTTAGACATCTGCTTTACAGCTGATTTAAACATCTGTTATGGAGGTTTTCATCCCTTAGATAAATTTTTACACCTGTTAAGACTGTCAGGTAGGTTTTTGCCCCTCATCTTTTAGGTAGGTTTTTACAAGTAAAGGCACCTTAGTTAAGATTTGTTTGAAGTTTTTTTTTTTTAATATCTCTGAATTAGATTTCCAGTGTACATCTGTAGCTATGTGTAGATCTTTATCTGTAAGGTGAGTTTTACATCTCGTAAAGAGGTTTTCGCCTCTATTCATAGGTTTTGAAAATCAAAGGTAGAATATGTTAGGAAGGTTTGACATGTTCTGAATATATTAAGAGTTCTGAATATATTGATGACTGCAGGGATGGGGTCAATTACTTTAAAAAGTAATTAATTAAATTACAATTACTTTGACTTTTTCTTCAATTAAACTACAGGCTTTCTAAGATGTGTAATCAATTAAATTACAATTACTTTGAAAAAGTAATTAATTAAATTACAAATTACATTTTTAATTTTTTTGAAAATTTTTATAATCCTTGTCAATGAATATACAGAACATCATTTATCTGTATATAAGCTCAGCCAATGCAAGAAATAATAAGCTATATAGGCATTGTGTATTTTGTGGTTTAATTTATAATTTTTATTTACTAAACGTTAAAGATCTATCCGAGATCAGTTTGATTCGCAAAACCTACATGTACATAAATTGCATGGCTTATGATATTTGATTAAAAGTGGGTATTTTAATGGAGTAAAAATGGAGTAAAATGAGTTGTTAACTGTAACCTCTCTAATTAAATATTTCCTTTGAAAGTAACCTGAACATCCTAAATTGATATTTATGGTGAACATTTTTACTTCAAAAATAATACTTGTACAGAACATAACTTTTTCAGATACAAAATTTATTCATTAAAAATCTCTTTAGATGTTAAAATAATTATCAAATTGAAAGATTTTCTTTTCTAAAGCTAGTGGGGCATTTTTAATTGAATTAATTATCTCCATTGGCTTTGTCTTCTAAATCATGGAATGAATACCTCTTTAGAGGGTTTGATTTGTTTTGATTGCAATTTACAGCTGTGATTTGGAGGGCAATTATATCTCTTTCCAACACGAGAGAACTTAATTAATGACACACACAATCTTTTTCTTTATTATTGACCAACAACAAAGATTTAAATATAATAAATGTGTGTTTCATGACTGAAAAGTTGGCCTAAGAAGGGTGGTACAAAATTTTGATAAAGTTTAACATAAAATAAAAAAATCATTTTTGCATAATGATTAGAAAGAAACTATTTTATTATTATGAAGTCCATCATTTATTTGCTCGTAAATATTAACTTAAGATTTTGTATAATTGAAGGATTGAGAATATGTTTTACAGTAAAATAAAAGACAGTAAAATGGGGAGGTAGTGGTGACAATATATCATGAATGTGTGTTATATAAAGTAATTGAATGTAATTGAAAAAGTAATTGAAATTACATGGTATTTTTTCAGTGTAATTAATTAAATTACAATTACAAGTAATTGAAAAAATGTTCAATTACAAATAACTTCCAATTACTTCAAAAAAATGTAATTAATTACGGTCAATTACAATTACTTTTTTCAATTACCCCATCCCTGTATGATGAGTTATGATTACATTGTCATGTTTTGGTTATGTTGATGAATTCTGATTACATTGTCATGTTTTGGTTATGTCGACATGTTCTGATTACATTGACGTGTTCTGATTAAGTTGATTCTGATAATGTTCTGATGTTCAGATTACCAGGAAGAAGAAAACCCCGGCATCCTTCATTCCTAGAAGAATCTCTTAAAAGAGCTGGCCTATTTTCTGAGGAAAGGTAATACAGATAGAGCCTTGTTTACTGGAACCCTTTCTCATACTTGATGAATGTGAAGTCTTATTTGAAAATTAAATGTTGTAATTATTTTGTATGTTAATTAAATTTAGTGATTTGCCAGATCACTTACTGTGCGATCATTTTAATTCGTGAAGGTTGATGTTTGTGGGCTATCAAAATTTTATTTAATCCTGGGCATGTAATATTTTGTTTATACAGAGGATTCAATGAATCAATATGTTGACAAAGTTATCATTTGTGGAAAGTAAATCCATGAGTATTGGTACCCGATGAACAATGATAGTACATTTAAAAGTTGTACTGTAAAATCACTGAATTTCATGGGGGTCATTTACATGGAATTTATGAGTCTCTTCATACCATGAACACAACAAAAATTAAATTAGTAATTCCCCAGTAATGAAGATACTGAAATCCCAATTGTCATTAACCATAAAGATATGTGATTTTATAAAAAGTAAAGTAAATGTACATTTTAAAGTACTATTGATTATTTTAAACTTTTGTGACAGGTCACTTTCTGATGGTAATCCACATGTAGAGAGCAAACTTAGTCATCCTGCCTCTAAAATGTTAGAGGAAAGGAAACATATTCATTCTGTCCGTGTGATGTCAGAGGAGGGAAAATCTAGTCATCCTGCCCATGTCCAAGCCCATGCTAGTCTATTTGTACCTACCTCAGACCTGCCTGGACCTGAAGATTTATCAATTGTACCTCCATGTGACAACAGCCAGATCCCTCCACTAGACATACATGGAGTGGGTAGTCTTCCATACATTCAGGAAAACACCCACATTTATCAGGAACATATATCTGTGCTGTCTTCTGCTGCTGAAGTAACACAACACCATGTTCAATTGGATCACGTTCAATCTATACGGCCTAGAGCTGGAGGGGAATTCCAGCTCTTAACTCCAGATCATTTTCTTTCCCATCCAGATTATGTTCTTCCAACATTTCAAAGTGATGTTTCCCCTTTAAGTACCCCAAGAACAGTTGACTCTACATCACTAGCTGTCAGATCAATGATACAGACTATAGATAGTACTGCAGGCATTCCAGAGGCCCCAAGCAGGGTAAATGATCAACAAACTATCCCTTTGAGTGAACAAATAGTCAGGATAAGAAATCAGCTGAAAAGTTTTGAACAACAAAAGAGAAAGCTCAGGTGAGACAAAACATCAAATTTAATATGGAGATATGAGATGAATAGTGAAAGAATTTATTTTTCAGAAACTTGAAAATCTTATCTAAAGCAAAGATTCAACACTTTGTCTTAGGTTTAGGTCTTCTTATTGTTTATACTTTCTTTTGTGAAACAGGAAGTTACAAAAACAGCACAAACAGCTATCTTCCTGGCTTGATGATGAAGAGGGGACCGTCTCAGAGTCTGAAATAATGGAGGTGAAAGAAGAAGTGAGGGAGGTAAGGGTTGTGTCCCTTTAGAAGAATATTTTTTGATATAAAATCAATTTCAACCAGTTTTGCTCTCTTTCAGTAAAGGGAACAAAGGAAAATTTCATGAATTCATCTCCCTGGGGCCTAAGGGATGTGGCTAAACCAGCAAAATTAATGCAATCTTCAAAATTCTTCTTTACTCAGCACATCAAACAGTCAAAACTATTGGCATGGTTCTAATAAGCAATGAGTCTTTTACCAAAACTGTGAAATTCATGACCCCCTGTGTTCAGTTGGAGCTGAGTTGATCAAATCAAGAGAAAGTCATGATACTCTTATGACTGTCAAGGCCTATGGGCCTGGCTTCTTGTTAACTATTATTAATGATTTTTAGCTCACCTGAGCTGAAGGCTCAAGTGAGCTTTTCTGATCAAAATTTGTCCGTTGTCTGTCGTCGTCGGCGTTGTTGTCGTTGTCGTTGTAAACTTTTCACAATTTCATCTTCTCCAGAACAACTGGGCCAATTTCAACCAAACTTGGCACAGAGTATCCTTGGGTGAAGGGGGTTCAAGTTTGTACAAATGAAGGGCCACGCCTTCTTTCAAGGGGAGATAATCATGAATTCATGAAAAATTAATGGCATCATTTAAAAATCTTCTTCTCAAGAACCACTGTGCTTGAAAATATGAAACTTATATGGAAGCATCCTCAGGTAGTGTAGATTCAAGTTTGATCAAATCATGACCCCCGGGGGTAGGGTGGGGCCACAATGGGCGATCAAAGTTTTACATAGGAATATATAGGAAAACTCTTTAAAAATCTTCTTCTCAAGAACAGCAAAGCCATGATTGGTCATATTTATATGGAAGCATCCTCAGATAGTGTAGATTCAATTTTGTTCAAATCATGACCACCGGGGGTAGGGTGGGGCCACAATGGGCGATCAAAGTTTTACATAGGAATATATAGGAAAATTGTTTAAAAATCTTCTTCTCAAGTACAGCAAAGCCATGAATGGTTATATTTATATGGAAGCATCCTCAGGTAGTGTAGATTCAAGTTTGTACCAATCATGACCCCCCGGGGTAGGGTGGAGCCACAATGGGCGATCCAAATTTTAAATAAGAATACATAGGAAAAATCTGTAAAAATCTTTTTCACAAGAACAACAAAGCCATGATTGGTCATATTTACATGGAAGCATCCTCAAGTAGTGCAGGTTCAAGTTTGTTCAAATCATGACCCCCGGGGGTAGGGTGGGGCCACAATGGGCGATCAAAGTTTTACATAGGAATACATAGGAAAAATTTGTAAAAATCTTTTTCTTAAGAACAGCAAAGCCATGATTGGTTTTTTTTTAATGGGTGCATCCTCAGGAAGTGTAGATTCAAGTTTGTTTAAATGATGACCCCCCAGGGGTAGGGTGGGGCCACAATGGGCGATCAAAGTTTTACATAGGAATACATAGGAAAAAGCAAGCCTTTTAAAATCTTCCTCTGAAGAACAGCAAAGCAATAATTAGTCATATATAAATGCAAGCATCCTCAGGTAATGTAGATTCAAATTTTGTTTAAATCATGACCCCCCCAAGAGAATAGAGGGGCCATAACAGGGGATCATAGTTATACAAAGGAATACAAATGATATATCAATAAAAATTGTCTTCCTAAGAACAGCATAGCCATTATTTGTCATATTAATTCAAAAGCATCCCTTTGAAGTATAGATTCAAGTTCAAATTAACCCCCCCCCCCCCCCACTTCGAACCACTTTTATATCAAAACTTTTCAAGACTCAACTGATTTCTGCTTTTTCCTAGCCAGAGTGCTCAGGTGAGCGATGTGGCCTCTGGGCCTCTTGTTATTTTGTGTTTTAGTATGATGGTATTAATTAATACTATTTATTTTTAGATGGAGAAGGAAATTAAAACACTACAAGCTGAGATTGAGAGGCAAAAACCAGAATGTGCGCAGTTAGTTGAAAAGGTCAATCAACTCATTCAGGTGATGTCAGAAAGGTCATCCAGCTCATTCTAATGATGACAGAAAGGTCAATCAACTCATTCAAATCTTAATGATGTCCAAAAGGTCAAACAACTCATATAAATGATGTTGGAAGGGTTAACCAACTCATTTAAATGATGTCGGAGCAGATTTTATAATGACAACCAAGCAATGAATGAACTGCCAGAGGAAGATAGTTTTAGGGATTAGTTTACATTTAAGGAATGATATTAGATATTTAGCTCCAAGAGAAACTCTTCTTGACCTTGAAATTTTATTGTTGATTTGAGAGGTCAAATTTGTCTTCCGTTAACAAATATTTTCTAATACATGAAAGAAATAAAAAAGTATGTTATAATATATTTTGATATATATTTTCTCAATAGAATATATAGACAAAGATCAGGCATTTACAGAGCAATATTTGCTTGAACTTTAAGTGCTGGTGAACAACTTTTTTTGTTTGTGACATCACAATACATTTTCCAGTATCTCCATTGTTAATGACATCCCATACATGTACTTTGATGTCACAAATATCCAGGGAACTAGTAGTTACTAATGTTGTATGGTTGTTTATAACCAGAAATTCAGAGAGATTCCGTTCATTTGAATCTGAAAAAAATGAATTCACATTAAAATATGCAATAAAAAAGGTTATTGACTGGATATTGGGAAATACGCCTGCCCTCGGTCATTGATCTGATGCAGACCTCACAAGCATTGCGAGATTTACCGAGCAAAGACATTGAGCATATTTCCCAATATTCAGTCAATAACTTTTAATTATTGAATATCTAAAATGATCATTTTTGTTGTTTGTTTTTCAAAAATTTTAGTTTTTTTCCCCAAGATATTTATGTCTTTTAAAAAAAAAGGTGGGGAGTTTTTTTGGTGAGAAGTGTGATTCAATCATTTTAAGTCTTGTTCTTAACTTCAAAGGTTATAATGCTAGCTCTTTTTTTTTGTAATTTTAAAGAGTAAACATGTATACATCAGTTAGATAGGTTAATTAAGATATTATGTTTAAGTCAGGAGATGGGCTATTCTTGAAAGGATGGCACACCTACAAAGTACAGTGAATCTTGTATAATCTGGATGTTGTGTATTCCAAAATCTTGCCCAATACAATGTCAACTTTAAGTCCCTTTCAACAAATTTAATTTTTTAAAATGTCTACTTCGGATTGTTGTCTAATCTGATCAACTTCTTTGGAACCATTGGTATCCAGATTAGACAAGTTTTACTTTATTATGTTAAAACTTGGTGTTCAATCTTTTTAGTCACCCATTGAAAATTAAAAATGTAGCTTCCAGTTATTAAAATTTGTTGTATCAGTCATATCAAAGTTTGTATGTAATATGTACTTTATATTACAAAAATATTGTTTGGTTTCCTGTATATATTGATTGTTTACAGGAGTAATGAAACTGAACAGTTTGTTATATTCACTGTTTTCATTGATACAATGGCAGTTTTCTTGCATGGTTAGTAATTTGAATGTACCAGTTGGGCATTTTAATATGGATTGAATGTTGTATTATATATATTTTATATATAAGAATAGTGCCAAAATAAATCTTTCTAAATAATTGTTTAGTATTTGTTTGTAGTCAGAAAACTGGGACTTGACAAAGAATGTGATTGTTATTTCACACAGGTTAGCCCAAAGATAGGGTTCATAGTGAAACTGTTTGCAAAAATGTTGAGCTGTATTTCCATTTATACAGCTGTAAGAATTGGAAACCAATTGCACAACCCCAAAAATATATTTACAAACATAAATAGAATATATATATAATGTGTATGAAATATGGAGATAATGAACAGTAATCAAGCTCAAAACTCCATTGAAACTATACAAATCGAGAGCAGAGCAAACACAGACTTCTAAAAAACATCAGAAGTGGGATCAGATGCTACGGAGGAGAAAGCATCCTCTGTCGACCGGTCACACCTGGTCACACATCATTGTCATGATCTGGCAAATGGAAAAATCCATACACAATTCAGTGTTAAAATAATGGCATAACAGTTAGTATGAAAAACATCAGTCAGCATTCAACTTAATGATAGATTGTATTTGTTGACAAGGTTGTATTGACCATAGGACTTGCAAAGTGATATCTTTGTTTCATCAACTTGTTTGTCAATAGATTGCCTCGTTTTAGAAATTGTTTGTACGTGGAGCATGCTCTCGCATATCTAATTAACTGGGAGATATAAACCCCATATGCAGATGATAAGGATATATTGCTACATAAGTAAGGGAAGTTGACAATAGAAAAGTTGGAAGTCATTAATTTTATTAAAAAGTGTTGTTATTAGGTTACCATTGACGTCTTTTTCTTGTAAAATATCCAAATATGAAACAGATGTGTCAGACTCTGTGGTATCTTTTATTTCAAGTTCACTGGGATATATCAAGTCGACATATGAAGGGAAGTAACCATTGTTAATTTACAATACGTCTTTGATATATCTAAATGTCTAGCTGAAGGCCACAACACTTCTCATGTATAAGTTTCTGAATAAATTCTGCTTTATTATAGATACAAAAATAGGTCTGCTTATAAAAGGGCACAATTACTACACATGGAAATTCCGACATATTGTTGAAAGATCTGATCTCCAAGAACTACATAAATATTGTCAATCAAAAACTCAAGCATTTTTTTTTTTTAAATCTACTTCAGAGTACTTGTGTGTACAATAAGACGGTTTTTTTTTAAAGAATAATTTTGCAAATGACCAATGACAAGGTAAGTATATTTACGAATTCCATTTTTTGATGTTGAAAAAGCAGCTGTCAATGATGTCTAAAAGCATGAACTTTAATTTATCCTGGGGAATGGTTGTATAAAGTGTTGAGTCGTACGTTTTCATGTTGTAGATTTTGGAAAAATTTTGTGATTTCAAATATGCTGAAAGTGCCGTGGACTTTTTTTAAGTATCCACATTTGATTTACACCGTTTCTCAAATAAATGTATACCTTGTATACACATATATACACAAATGACGTAAATGAAATAATGTAAATAGTTTTGGTGTGAATTATTGTAGATGAGAGTCTTTTTTGTCAATATCAGGAATATGCTAGCTCTGAGTAGTTTACATCCATCCTGTTGAAGTGTTACATGTGTAATTAGTGCCTAGACAATGCAAGGATTCTACTTTTAAAACCTTATAAATGAAAAAAAAAAGATAGAGTTCTCAAGGAAGAAGTACTGTACATCATCCTTATCAAAATTAATAATTTATATTAGAAAATACTAAAGGTAGAATCAGGTGCCTAAGAAGAGTAAGCATCCCTGTGGACCGATCACATCTGCTGTGAGCCCGCTGATCAGGTAAACAGAGTAATCCATACTCAAATTAGAAAAGATTAAAAAAAAAAAACTGAACAATTTGTATGAAACATGTCAGTCAAAATACGTCCAACAGTAGGTTGGTTTAACAAACAAGGGTAACAGAATCGGACTTAAAAGAAATTGTTGAAATCCCTGTAACATCAACTTATTTGTCAGTAGTGTGCCTCGGTTTAAAAATTGATAGTACTCAGAACATGCTCTTGCGAAATTAGTTTGTAAACACTATGTGGAGGTGGTAGTGAAAAATAATTGCACAAATAGGGGAAGCTGACCATGAGAAAAGCTTAAAGTTCATCCGGTTTTTATATATTTTAGTTGTTAGTCTGTCATTAACATCTGTAGTCAGTAAAAATCAAAATAGGAAAAGGTATTGCAGAATCTGTGGTGTCTTTTATATTTCGAGTATTGAACTGATATATGCAAGCCCGTAGGAATTAGATTTAGTTGACGGAGGGGACTCGGTCTAACAGAAATTCTTGACAAGCAAAAAAAAAAAAGCCATGGAGATAGACGTTATTTTAGAAGAAGCACTGCCGTAAATTACGTTTGATTTTTATTGCATGTATAGTATAGATGGCACAATTGTTGAAACAATGATAAAGTTCTTTTGAACAAGCTAAAGTCTTTTGGAATTTGTCAGAATACTTTTACATGGCTTCAATCTTATATTTCAAATTATAGGCAATGTGCCAGAGATCGAGGTGTGTTATACTGTGAAAATGATATATCTTTAGGTGTCCCTCAGTGAACAATTTTATATATATTAACGACTGTTCAGAGTGTCTTAAATACTCTTTGGTTACAATGTATGCAGACGACACCTCACAGGACGTAAGGGATAAATGTATAGATATTAAGAAAATCTTCAAGATCTCAGACTGGGAGCTAAATGGATGATAAAAAATAAATTCAGTATAAATTAAAAAAAAAAAAGATTTGTAGATAAATAAGTAAAAAAAAAAAAAAATTAAAAAATGTATGCTTATTTCAAATCTTTCGAGAATCCATATTGATTTACACCACTTTTTGAATACACTTAACAAAACTTCTAGGTGTTCACTCTAATAAATGTATTTATTTAAAAACTACATGATGGAATGGTGTGATATTTTCAAATTAATATAACCAATGAGTCTTCTCAACAATTGTCGAAAGAAAACCAATTATCACCGATGAAAACCAATGTCCCGTGACGAAGCTTAAAAACAATAAATCTGTACTTTGCGGCACGTGTTTTGTGTAATCAGCTTATTTTTGTGACCATTATCAATTTTTAACAACTGGTTTAACTAAAAAACACAAAACATTGCCAAAATGACCATTGAGGAAGGAGGGAGAGCGTTGGAATGTTGATATCTGGATGGTCCTTACGACACGTTTTACTCACTTTTATTCTAGTGTTTATTTGTCCTTCATATTACTTTTAAAAATTAACAACCTGAATAAAAATACATTTAAACACATTTTTCTATAGCTTGTGCGTCATTTTATCGCCAATTTATCACAATTTGAAAGCTTTGGACGTCTGAGGCCAAGGTTTTGCGCCACAACCAGGTTAAAAGGTTAAAGTGAACGACTTTAGAAACATTTAAATCAAACATCAATTAATGGTTCTAAAATGGCAACAAATAGGTGCTCATGGCAGTCCAGTATCATTTCAAACAGTCTGAATCATCCTTAAAGAGGTACACTTAAGTTCGAGACGCCCAAGGAGGGTCTTAGTGTTGACCAAAAGGCTTCTGTGTGATGCAATGGCCTGCCAAATCCCCGGATCTGAATCTCATTGAACACATTTGGGACTTTTAAAAGGAATGTCAAAGCCCACCCACCCACCCCACCTCTTCACACAATTTCAACGGTTTAGATAGATCCATGCAGTAGGTGTGGCAGCAGATAGGCCAACCTCCTGTTCAGGGGTACATGGAATCCATGAGAAAAGGATGTCCTGCAGTAAT